AGATGTTATTTTCGATCTTTTTCCGAAGAAGATGGAGACAGGTGAAGATCATGGCAGAGATTGGGTTGGCGCGTTTTTGAGAATATGCAGGGATGGCACCGTGCATGTACAATGGCCGGGCAGTTCTTCATCAGCCAGACAGGGGCTTACAGGCACTCTGACACAGTCTTTCACACCGTATTTTCCTTAAGTAACTACGGCGTAGTGAGTCTTCGGTGTTTGATGATGAGTTGCGCCCCTGACAGCAGTGCTTTGGTCAGATGGAGGTCACGATGCAAGAGACTCCCGGGCTTTGGAAATACCCCAACATAAGATACACTCTCGTCATGTCTACACTTCTTTTTTCATGATATAATAACCGCCCATCACGAACGTGGTGAATGAGCACGTTCATCCGTTGCTAGTTCCAACCTAACTAGCGGCGCCAACTTCGGGCAGTCCATCTACCGACGCCATACGACCAGGCCTCAACGGACGGACGCCGAGATCTAAGAGCGGAATATAGCCGATGGATATTTCCTGGGTTACATTATTAAGACCGCTTTGACCTTCAGTACTCCATGATCGTCTTAGCCTAAGTGCGGACATTCTCATCCGCGAAGGGATAATGACACTCAACATGAATGGCCTTAGTAAGAAACACGACCATATCTGGCTCCTCGAAACAGCAGCTTCCACTGAGTGCCACTCGATGTTGATGAGATATTGGTATGATGTTCAAGCATGTCGATTCATGTTAAAAAGTACATCTCCTTCAGCCACACATTCACTGAATAGCTAGACCTACAGGACTGTAGCACTACTCCTATCCCATATGTTCAAGCCCGTGGGACGAGTTGCAATCGCGTGTGTAGAATGGACTATGCAAGCTCCCTATAGCGTGGAAATCTCCCTAACAAACGCATTACCTGACTCCGCGCGATTGATGTTGATCTTGATATCAGCTTCCCACGTGCCCGCCAATTCGAAGGAAGGACGTTCAATGAGTCGTGGTTTCTTAGTCACTTAGTCACTCATGACTAGTTTGAGCAATAATGTACGTCACCTCGGTATTCCTAGTGTAAAACCAAGTCCTTAAGGAGGCAAGTCCGTCCATGAAAACTCCGGTCGTGTCCACTCAAACGTATCCAGCAAATCAAAGTTGAAGTCCAAATGTGTCGAGAAATCCCATTCCAAGAAATCAGCCAACGGACCATCCCGGTTAGGCGCTACATTGAGCACCTGATCCAACACCCTTTGCACAATGATCTTGCAGTTGGCGCAGATGTTGCCGTTCGCCTCCTTTGGACTGACCCAGTTTAGGAACCCAACAAGCAGACTCAGCAGCTGAACGATGCTGGACCGGGTGACACTCTCGCCATTGGCACTAGTGATGCCATTAGGTTCGTTGAGGGTAACAGTCGGTTTCAGGAGCTCGAGGCAGAGGATTCCTCCGCCAGGGGCTGCATATGCCATGACCTTAGAAGCCGCGTTAGTGTTTTCCCTGCACACGGTGTGAGGAAGAGGTCATTTACTCACCAACCACTTGAAATCCTCGTACACCATGGCGAGACCATCCATGTTCGTCCAGAAAAGCATGGTGGTGGTGGTCAAGTCGTAGCTCACGGCGAGAAGATCCTTCTCATTGGCACAACCATGGCGGCGCAAGAGTCGTTCTATGAAGAACAAGTTTTGGAGATGCTCCAGGCGCATGAGGATTCTGGGGTAGAGCATGTCGGTACTGACGTCGGGGTCTCGCACATCCGCCTCCCTGAACTGTAGTACTGATGGCATGTCTGCTGCGGCCTGTAGTTCTCTATTCTTCAGAGCACTGGGTACGCATGAGCTGAGGTTATCGGCGAAATAACACCATTAACTTACTAAAGGGTTTCCGCAGAGGTAGCTCCCTCAACTCCGAGAGAGATCTCGAATATCTCATCTCGAATGATCATGAGCTGGGCACGAGCCCTCCAGAACGTAATGGAGTAAGCTGCTCCGTCCGTGTTGTAACCATTGCTATCCAGAGAAGCAACCGCACGCGATAGTGTCTCTTCGTCTGCCACCAGGTAATCGTCCTTAAGATCCAGCGGCGGGGGTGTCAGCATGTAACGTCGGCTAAGCAGAGGAGGTCGTCCCGTTATTGAAGAGACAACCTTGTCGATCACGAAAATCTTGTATACGAGCCGTCTCTTGATTTCGCTTGCCAATGTTGGCTTGTAAACGCCTTTAGTTGAGTTGACGTGTAGACCGAGGAAGGTCATTAGAGAGACTGCTTCACCGTTGTACATCCAGCATGACAGGCCTATAGTAGAAGTCTGGTGTGAGTCTAGAACGGCATGAGATGGAAAGGCAAAAACACTTACTAGTATCCCCCGACACGATGGATGCGACAATCGTCCGCTTCCAGTACACGTACAGCAGCAGAGTATTACCGACCTCAGTAGCTCGTCTCGCCAGTGCTTGGCAGTCATTGATGCATTTTCTGTACACATCTCGTTGTCGGAACGCAGCAACTCGACCCCCGGGCGGAGGCGGCTTGGTCTCTGGGCGAACGAGGTGGTTGTTCCTAGAGCTCAGCTCCCAGTAAATGTAAAGTATCCCGAGCGTCTCCCATCTGACGTTCGTTCCGGTGAATTGGGCCACCCATTTCTCGGGATCGGCTTCATTCTCCGAGAACGGCTTCGCGGTGTTGGCGCACAGGATGCGCGTCAACTCCGAGAGCTGGGCATCGTCTCGAACCGTGCCTAGGTAGCTTCCGTACGTGGCATACAAAGAGTCGAGGGCGCGTTGGGCAACTGGGCGGACAAAAGCGTCATGGGGATCGAAGTGTGCTGCGAAGAGCGCCTGACCTTTGTCTTCGGTGGGTATACTCTGCAAGACGAAGAGACATGTCTCTAATGTTGTTGTTGACGGCGGCAGTTCAGTGATGCAATTTGAAGGTGTTATCAGATTACTTCCGACTGTGGCGCCATCAGTTCTGGACGTTCCAGCTGCTCTGTTGTCGTGGTCAGACAAGCTGTCTCCTACTTCTCTGTAGATATCGCCGAATGAGTTGAATCCAAGATGGCCTGAACTTGTCACTTCGGGATTGACTGTTTGGAGACTAGAGTTTATATGGTCGTGTCCGGCTGCACTTTGGTCTGTTTGTGTGGGCTGTTCAACGGCAGTCGACCCAGTAAGATGCTGCTCCGGTACTCCGTCCGAAGTAGGAGGCCCTAGCTGACCCGGATCTGGTGCCGGCGTGCTGGGAGATTGCATCCGCGCCGGCGAGCCGGCCGTGTACTCGCATGTTCCGGCTTTCCTCCGTCTCCGACAGCTGCCACAGATCGGACGGGCATGGTCACATACGACCTTCCGCCGGCGACAGGGGTCGCACGCCTGAATGCGGCCGTTCTTGCGGTAACGTAGCGGTGTACCCCGGTCGGCCATATCTAAACGAACCTTCGGAAAGTGAGCAATGACGCCCAGACAATTGATTCCGAGACAGATGAATGAAGAGCAGAAAGGTTCGTCTGACCGATGTTGTAGACGTCGGAGGGGGATGATTAGGGGCGACTGGCCGAACTTTTGCAAGTTCGGCTTCGGCAAGCCCCGCTTTCTCGGGAAGTGGACTCGGTGTGCTAATTATGGTAGAGTGGATGGATGCTTCGGCTGATTTCCCATTGGCGCCAGGCCCTTGTCATCCTGGCTGGATCATGATAGGAATACGTTTGACTGGTTGCAGTGCACGCATAATCACAACTGGGATTGGCTGTGAAAAGAGTTATTGTTTTGTAGAGGTATCGTCCCAATGGAAGCCCATGTGTCATAGAACGCAGAAGAGCACTGGCACATTTGCAAACATGTGCTGAACAAAGCCAATCGATGCTTCCGAAGTGTGGTGATTGCAGCGTAAATAGATACCTCACATACTATTGATTTCTGTGCAATGAATGATGCTCCTTGCGCATCGAAGGTCAGCTAAATCATCACCGAAACCAGAATCTCATACTCTAAGGTCTGAATGGGGGCACTTTTTGCCCTGCGCACGACATGACTTCAGACTCGTATTCCGTTCAACGTAAGTATCTTTGCGGGATATAGCTAGTGTGTAAGCCAATTTGCGGTTAGGAATAATTGCGTCTACGCGACTGATCCCCTTCAGATGATCAGTGGGGGGTCATGGCATGCATGCATGCTTTGGAGCACCGCCTCCACCAAAAGGTTAGGTAAAGCAATGTTAGTTTGCACCAGGATGCGTTTGATCGATGCTCAAGCACAAAGTCGCTTCCGTCATCTGGCTACTGACTTGAACAGTTCGATATGCCATGGTAGAAGCCATAACCTCAAGCACCCCGTTATTCTTGCATCAATGTTTTCTCCGTAGTTAACAGCACATGCTTCAACAACAAATCCTGTAAGATATGAAATGATTTGTTATCAGGCGTTGGAGGCATTGTGAATAAGGCTCCGTGTGTGGAACATATGAGCCGATTGCCACAATAATCGAGCCTGTGGAAATCCTCACGTGTCAAAACAGATACTCCGGTTGGTGAAAGTCATCGGACAGCCACGTCATGAATATTGTTCAGACTCTGTTTCGACTGTGGCCCGGTTAACGGACTTCGACCATATACATGGGCTGGTCACCAGAAAGGTTGTGAAGTGCGAACAGTCCGGCTTACCTACCCATAGACACTACTTGCTTGTTTTAGCTTATGTTGAGATCTCATCACTGAGATGAAATTCTTCCGGCCTTTCATTCAGCTTGCTGAATGTTGTAAAGTTTGGCGCATGCTACCTCCTGTACAGCACGACTGAGCCTAGACGAATGACTCCACCCGCACTTCTTCACGCACATGACTATTAACTTGATTCGTCCTCAGTTTTATGATATTGAAAGATGTAATCTTCATTACTCATTCCAGCCAGAGTACCGAAACATTTTATACTTATGAGCGCCATGGCCGGATCATTCTCACTGTATCGATAACCGCGCGGTCAACTAGAAAGCCTTCAAGTGCACCGTCCAATGTTGCTGATCAACCGAGAAGGAAGATAAAACTAAGAAGAGTCGCAGCGACTGCGGCTGTAGCACCATGGCCTGTGTAAACAGCACCACTCTTGTCGTCGTTGCCGTTCAACGAATCAGGCATCTCCTCACCCTCAGCGGTGAACGTCTTCATGCAGGTGAACTGCACCTCTGGGCTGTTATCATTCTCATCGTCGTATAGAACGGTGAAAACGGGAGTCACGCCAGAGCGGCCACCCAGAGATTGGCCACTGTTATCTCCTGTGGGAAGAATCTGCCGCATCTCGGCTACCTTGCGCAGCTCGTAGCTCTCGGGCATGACGGGCTGGCAACCTTCGTTCTGGAGCTGGACTGGGCTAGGAGAAAGGTCCTCGCCGGAGATAGGGCCTGCGGTGATGTTAATGTGGCCGGCGAAGCGGTCGCAGAAGGACAGTTCGTGGTGGATGTTGGTGTTGAGGAACTGCGCTAGGGACTCGCATCGTGGCAACGAGGCGCTTCCGGTGTTGTTGCTCTGACCGTTCGTAGTGTATCGGAATTGCTCCACCAAAGTTGCTATGTTGTTCTGACAACCGTCAGAAATGACCGAGTTGCAAGAAGTTGTGTTTTGCGTGTCGTCTTCGGACAGCTCAAATGTTTGCTCCTGATACTGCATCATAAGGGCGCAGCCGGCCTCCTGGTTGCTGGAGTTGAAGTTGGCTGGCACGCCGACATACAGCGTCTGAGTTGAAAATTGATAGCCTTGCTGGCTAGCGAGGATGCCATCCGGGCTCCCATCAACGAGAGTAAGCGAAAGCTTCTCATCGGCGACGTCGAGCACTTCAGGTACCATTCCCACTCCAACAAAGCGGGGTGAGTTGCCCGACGAGCACACACCCTGGCTTTCGGAATTGATGCATGAGAGGGCGCTGCACGACGAGATGTCTCTGTGCTGGGCCGCAACTGAGGTTGCCAGAGCTATAGCAGCAAGGAGTCTTGTGTTCATGGTGCTTTAGGAAAGAACAGTCTGAAAGGGTGGTTGAGTCGGACAATTGCTAAGTACGTACTAAGTCGGGTTGAATTGGTTTCGCCGTTGCAGTGGAGTAGACGTGAGTTGCCCGCGCTATAGATAGTCTATATCTGACAAAGTCGTCTGGGCCTTGCCCGCTCTTAAGTCTTTCTCTTTTCCTGGGGTGAGGTACGCTGTGTTTCTGTTTGGGTCGAAAGGTTCCCGGGGATCTTTGGTGGTTGCGGGAACAAACATGATGTCACATCACTGCCGTGTGATCATTTTCGACCTCGACATTAGCGATTACCCCTCGCTTGGCGACAGCCTTGGCCAACGGCGAAGGTAGACGAAGAAGAATGATACGAAAAAAAGGTCCAACACGCGGCAAATGAGATGCAACGCCTCACAAAGGCAAACAGCAACATAAAACTCAGCCGAAATCTCTCCACATTACGTCAATTTTCCGGTGCCCCCGACGGCACAGCAAGGCGTATTCCTTCCTACCTCTTGGCGCGCGGCTCTTGGCTCTTGGCTCTTGGCCCGTCCCGCTCCTTTTTCTCCGCGCCGCTCCTATGTAAGCCACCATCGCGAGCGTACTGCTTGAACGATCGGCATGACCCCTTGCAACTCATCCGTTTTGGTCACATCACTTTCCCTTTTTGGCATTGTTGTAGGCTCGAACAAACAGTTCACCCGGAATGTGGCCGTGTTGGAGGTGGTCAGAGAGGTAGAGGAACGTCTGAAAGAGCGTCCACCCTCTATCGGATCGCCTGATCGAGTCTTACCTAATCCCCTTGGAGTCGGGCGTTGCGATCCATGGTAACTGATGCAGGCAGTAATATCCAGCCGCCCGCTCATTTCAAATAAGTGGATGGATCCACGTTATGGTCCGTAAACGTGCACCTGTCAGGAGGCTCTGAGGCCTCCTGGCGTGTGTGCCGCAAGATATGGACACTCGGATTCCAAAGTAAATGGCCGGTCTTCTGAGCATTCACCACCAAACAACCGGCCATTTATTTCGGCGACAGGGAAATAGGGTAGTAATTTCCGTTTCGTGGAATTGTTTAGTTTGAAATGTTGTTCTATAAGCTTTTGAGATCGATGTCACTTTAAACGGCCCGTCAGTTTTCGAGACAGCCGGGACTTATTTTGCTCATCAACAACATCAACTGACACGTGTTCGAGTTTTGAAACATAGCGAAGACTCATTCGTCAAACAATAAGTGTGATAGCTGTTGTAAGAAAATCAATCTGAGCGTCTGCTATAAGCGGCCTTAGTCGCTCTCGAAATGTGCCAACATCCTGTTGTTGCCTGGACGAGTGGGGCTTGGATGGTTACTTTGAAATCCCGTCGCATTAACTCTGTCCAATCGTACGTTCAGGCTTTACTACTTGGTTCTACTCTAGTTCACTTGGCAGGTATAATGATTATTTTATGGGTTGAACATTCTCAAGATTTGGTGCGGCTCAGCAACAACTCCTTCTGCAGAAGTTCCCAACAACTATGGAGCCCATTGAGCCAAGTTTTGAGGCCAGACTCTTCTTCTTTCGGAAGCTTGGAGGAGTTTCCAGCAGGCTCAGCACATTGCAGGATTCTCTACCGACTTGGCGCAGACACACCGAATTCTAATTCTGGCCAAGATCTCGATCTTCATGGCACGGCCAATATAGACTGTGAGGCTCGAGGCTGAATGCCATCGGGCGGAGCGGCGGAGCGGAAACACGCGGCTAGGAAGCCATGCCAAAGGTTACCAGAGTCAGTTCATTCTCATCTACGCCTTGGGAGGGGTCGAAGATCGTGTAGAGAATCAGGTCGTCAGGCTCGTCACGGCAAGGTGTTGGAGTCATTACTGCAACCTCTGTGCCTCTTTACCTCGTATCAATTGGGGGCGAGCTTTAATCCTCCATGTAAGCCGCTTCGTGACGGTGCCACTCAGTCAGCGCAGCCAAGGTTGCTGAGCTCGAACAGTATTACCGAAATCAGATGTGATGGCGGACTAGATGGATCGAATGTGTGAAGAACTGAGGATGAGGATTCCGCCGAACCTTTGGGCCTCATTGTGGGAGGAGGCGAGATATCTCTGGAATCGACTATAAGAAGCTCCTATTCCATTACCTTTGTTCTCTCAAATCAGCAACTCGAGCAGAACATCCTCAGTAGAACCTCTTCGCCCGCCAGTCTTCGGCTCTGAAGCAGCTTGCAAGTTCAGATCCTTCTTGAAACCCTTAGACCATCATTCACCACTATTCAACATGGCTACCGCTATCGGTGTCGTCGGAAGCGTCATCACCATCTTCTCTTTCCTCAAGGACATGTTCCCCGAGCCTGACAATCCGAGCGCCAAGTTCGCCTTCAAGATCGGCCTTGACGGAGCTGGTGATCCGCCCCTGAGCAACGCCGGCGGGAACATCCCCGACGTCCGCTGCTGGAACGAGCAGGGCGGGTTCCTCGGCATCACCACCAACGACAACAACAAGTGTGAGAACGGCGCCGACCTCTGCGAGACTAGCGTCTCGGATGTTGTCCAGCAGCCCACTTACACCCTCTTCACCGGCAACGACGATGCCATTTGCATTTCCTGGGCTTCCGTGACCTTTCCGGGTGGCCAGAACTACGCCAACACGATCGGCAACTGGGCTCAGAGTTGTGACGAAGCCTACGGAAGAGGTGGTAACTGGTCAGTAGCCCAAGCTCTCCAGCCTGTCCTCTGCATGTCACTAACATCCTATCACCAGGTACTACTCGGATATCTACGTCCCCACGGAGGACGGCCCTGACGAGACCGTCTTCTGCGCCTGGGTCGACAAGAACGGAGACGTCGACACCACCGGTATCCAGGTCCACTGGCCTGAATACTCCAAGGACTCCGGCACCAAGGACCTCGACTACTACTGCAACAACGACCCCGTACTGAGATTCACCGAGGATCCCGACCCCTCCGACGTTATTTTCTGGACCCGCAAGCGTGACCTCTTCAGCCAGCAGCCCTCCACCTCGTTCGCCCGCTCCGAGGAGCGCCGCGCCGTCGACAAACAGCACGCTCGCCTCGCCCGACGCTTCGAAAAGGACACGCGCCTGGTCAAGAGCAAAGAGGCAAAGCACACGGCCTCGGGCCTCTGTGGGGCCGGAAGGTCGGTCGGCCCCAGCTTCGTGTCTCTCGAGGAGCGCAAGTTCTGCTACATGCCCACCAAGACGGTCTATCCCTTCTGCGAGGACGTTGAGGGCGGTGCGTGCTGGTCGGAGGAGGAGGACAAGGTCATCGCCAAGGGCTCGACTGGTAGAGTTGCCGCTGTCCCTGACATGAAATTCGACAAGGTCCTGAGCTGGGGTGAGAAATAGGCCTGCTGTCGACGATGACCTTCCGGTCGGATTGAAAGCCACAGGATTGAAACAGGACTCACGCTTTCATCTGATCAGAAAAGGAGGGTTATTTGCTATGTTACACACTGTTTGTGATTTTATTCTTCTCTTCACTCATTAAACCAACTTCAGATTATAAGTAGAAATCAATACCACGTCCGGACAAAATGTGGTCGCTGCAACAGACCCGGGATTCGTGAATGTGAACAAATACCTGCTTGATTCGAGTTTCCACCGTAGACTCATATGGCGGGTAATAGCCACCAATAAGCCATAATATGAAGGTACTCTAGCCAGGATCAGATCTCAACGCGTATCAAATGAAACTAAAAGTAAATATATAACAACAAAAGCGCAAGTTAAAACAGAGATAGAATTTTACGCAACAACTATACATCTAGGTGAGGGGTTTTCTGTGCTGTAGTGTAGAGCTAGGATTCAATTCTGAGATATCACATCCTGTCCGGAGATATGTTGGCATCGCAGGGCGCATGGGCTGTAGGATGGAATACCGAGGCCTCATAGTACTTTTAGGCAGCATTGAGAATGGGGCTTTAAGCCCGTGAATTCCAACAAACAGTGAGTGGACTCAAGGTAGAAAGGGATGGGAGGATCATGGAGTAGACCGTGTAGTGCTTTCCAAATCTCCACTGACGACAGCCCGTCGACGAAGGCGCCACCGCGACACGGAACCTACGCCGATTTTAATCAACCTTTTCATATAAAAGGTTGCTACTACAGAAGACATCGGAGAACAAGCCATTTGTTCGTCGACTACACCAACGGACCGGCACCGAATTCCGGAGCTCGGCATGTGCCTTCCAACGGTCCTCGCCATCGTCGTACTTTCCCCAACCATGACAACAGACTCGGTGGCTCTCAAGGAGTAACTCGGCTGGAATGTTCTTATCCGCTCGACAAACATGTGCCGCGCCCTACTGCACAACATTTCGACAGGACGGGACGAGACGTCCGCTCCGCGGGATTACGCAACTCGACAGAGGGGTACCGAAAACGACGCGGTCTGAGGACTCGAGGACCACACGGGATGATCTACCCTCCAAGACAAAAAGCGTACAATAGGGGCGAAAAAGAAGCGCATTCAGATAAGCCTCGCTTTCTTAGAAAGTGAACTTCGGCTTGTCGTCCAGCGCCATCACCTCCCGACCGACAGACTTATGGAGGTTTTCCTTGATATGGCGCCAACTGCAAACGCGGGTTGAGCGATGTTATTAAGACTACTTACTGTGAGGTCATAAGAGTTCCTCGTTTCTAGTATTTTGAGGATCCTGTTAAACAACCAACATGATCTCGTAGTGACAGAGCTTCAATTAAAGTGAATGGTGCTTATAATAGGTGGGGCTTAAGTTTCCTTCTTCTTGCCTGGCGACTCACCCTCTGAAAAGCTCACATCATAAAATTTTCAAATTTCAAGAGTCAAGAGGTTGACAAATCCAATCAAAAAAGAATGTGTCGTATCCTAGGAAATGCCAAAAAATCTGTGATCAGTGGGAGGCTTGAACTCCCGGCCTTGGCATTACTGAACATATCAGATGACATATTAGTACCACGCTCTAACCAACTGAGCTAACCGACCTTGACGAACGGCCCAATTGACCTGGTTATGTACCCAGCCCCAGTCCCACAGCCAAGGTCGGATAATAACTGCATTCTATTGAGGCTTGCCCACCATGCGCCTGCGTGGAAGATGGCGGTTTAATAGAAAATGATTAGAGTACAATCTTTCACCCTGTATTCATCTCCCGTAACTGTAACTTTATCGCTAGCTAAGCGCATGTTCGCATCGTGCGATTGGGCCTTGCATCCATCCTTGCGCATCAATTTGTGGAAAGTTCATATGATTGGGGTGCTCACCGGCCGCATACTGAAATCTAGCGGTCTTCTCGCATCGCCTACCCGAGAGTGAACCCTATGAATGATGGCATTTGGATGTTTGTAAGACTCAACCTCACATGGACGGAGCTTAGCCACGGCCGGCTCACCTTAAGTCCGGAAACGGCTGGACCGCCTTATGCGGCCGATGCGGGGCCGTCAAAGGAGTCGCCGGAGACTAAGCGACAGTCGGGCCTACGGATTTAAAATTGATGTAAGCCGAGAGCTGTTGCCTTCTAATATTTGAGGAGGGTTTCTGGGTATAGGCTTTTGCCGTGAAGTCGCCTTCACAACACACATTATCATCTACTACTCAATATGTCCAACCAGCTCATTGTCCCCGATAGACCCCTCACGTGGCTCATCACTGGCTGCTCTTCAGGGTTCGGCCTAGCTCTGACACGAATTGCATTGAAAAACGGACACCATGTGATCGCGACGTCACGCAATCCCCAGAAGAACCCCGAGCTGGTCACAGAAGTTGAGAAAGGCGGCGGGCGATGGCTACGGTTGGATGTGGATGATCTCAAATCAGGAGATGTCGTGAACGATCTTGAGAAGAATGGCACTGCTATTGACGTTCTCGTGAACAGCGCCGGGTGGTCTATCCATGGCCCAGCTGAAGGCTTTACGGAAGAGGAGACCCGAGCGCAGATGGACACTGTTTTCTTCGGGGCCTATCGTCTGATGAGAGCCGTGGCGTCGCACATGAGAGAGAGGAGGAGTGGCGCTATCGTCAACATCAGCTCAGGTGCAGGGTTGGAGGGCAGAGAATCGATGGCAGTTTACGCTGCTGCGAAGGCTGCTATGGACGGTACGTAAGCATGATATTCTCAGCGTCTCGAGCTGACTGTCGCAATCGCAGGTGTCGGCAAAGTCCTTGCCAAAGAGATGGCTCCTTTTGGAGTCCGTGTACTGTCAGTGGCCCTTGGATCATTCGACACCAATATGGGCCCATCGGTGAAGTTGGCGAGGACACCGACTCCGGCGGATTATGAGGGAAGTGCAATGGAGAAGGTGTACCAAGTCATGGCGGCGTCCGCCACAGATGGATTCCCCGCAGACGGCGATCATCTGAAAGCGTCTCAAGTGATCTACGAAGTAATCACTGGCACTGGTATTGGGAAAGGAAAAGAAGCTGAAAGAGTGCTGCCCCTCGGGAGAGATGTGGCCAAGCGTGTTGACGAGGTGATCGCTGGATATCAGAGAACCATGGAGGTTTTTGGAGATATTTGCGAAAATGTATATCTTGAGAGTTGAGCATATAGGAGAAACATCGCCCGACCGGAAGGCGACACACGTATGGCATAGAAGAACTCGAAGCCTGGATTTGGCCTCCAAAACATTAAATCTGTATGAAGTAGAGTGATCACACCGTCCTAGGACATTGTCACTATCGGTCGACCTCTTCAAGAGGGGTTACTTCCCACCCCTTCTCACCGCAACCTATTATTATTCCTTCACCGTCACTCATGTCGTTCCAACCCAGCTTTCTTAGCCCATCCGGGCCATCTTCTGCGAATGCAACATAAAGGTCCTGCCAGGCTTTAGAGACCTCTTCCTCAAGTGCTGTCGAAGGGCCCCTCGCCCATGAATGTGTGCCAAAGACCAAGGGCATGTCTGAACTGTGATATGCCCGAAGCCAGGGACGCGGCGAGATGTTGGGAAATGAACTGGAGCCAGGTGGCGCAAAGTCTTTGAACAAGAAACGAAAGGTAGGAGCATGGGCAGAACGAGCCCTATTGCAAAGTCAGCCTTATACAACACACTCGTCGCTGAGATTGTTCGTTACCTTGCCATCTTGACCATAGGTCCAAGGAAGTAACCTTTTGTAATTCGTTCTGCCACCGTTGGGTCGGGACCTTCGGGTTTATACAACGCTACGGCTGTGCCTTCGTCATTCATCGTCCCGCAGATCGCTGGCTGGTCAGTGGCGATGGTCAGCTTGTAATATTTTCCTTTCTGTCAAAGGCTTAGATTTAGGTAGTCTTACAAGCTTACTAAACTTTCCGGATTGGACACGCTCTTCATAGTCGTCAAACAGGGTAAAGCCGTCGACGATAGGCCGAAAACTCAAGAAAGGCCTCTCACTCGTCTCCCAGTGCTCACGGATCGCATCCACCAGCTTGCCAGCTGGCTGTTGCCTCATGAACTCCAGCTCGGCGACAGTATCATCACCTTCGAACCCTATAGACTTTGCTAGGAAGCTGAAGTGTGTGCATCCAGGATCACTCACTGGAAGTGGAGGCAGTGCGCAGCCAGAGTTCATGATAATATTTCTCACCAGAGGCTTGTCGGGGTACGTGAAAGAGTGAGCATCTATACTGCGAGCACCCGCGGACTGACCAAAGTGCGTCATTCGCGACGGGTCGCCGCCAAATGATGCAATGTGCTTGTGCACCCATTCCAGACCCAGACGCTGGTCAAGGAGGCCTAGATTTCGCTCATGAGGGTTTAGGCACGCGGCATTTGGAAAGCCAAAGATTGTGAGGCGGTAGCTGCATTTCGGAATCAGTAAGATTCTGAGCCTTTTGATGAATGTTCCTTACTTGATGGATACTACAATATGTCTCTGACTGCTTTCAACCCACGGCGTGGGATTTTGATATGGCACAGTTGTGCCGCCAACGAGAAACGCGCCGCCAGTGATGAAGACTATGACGGGCAGTCTGACTGTTGATGCGCTTTCAACTGCCTCTTTTGGTGCCCATATACATAGCGACAAGCAGTCTTCGGAAGTCTCATCTCTGATCTGAAGTTCAGGAACATCTGTGTTGTACACTGAAGGTCTGCCGCCTTTGTTCTGTTGCGGACAGGAGGGTCCGAATTTCGTAGCATCAATCACTGTCGGAGGCGCTTTCGGTGTGGGAGGAAGCCAGCGTTGGGATCCTATTGGTGGCTCTGCAAAGGGGATACCGAGAAATTGGGCAACGTTCGGATAATCTTTGTTGATGAACCCCTTGACTGCCCCGAACGTAGAATCGACCGTGAGGTACTCAACGCCGTGTTTGCTCTCGCTTATGACCGACATCGCGGATGCTGCTTGCTCTTCAATTGACTCAGATGCGGCGAGAAACCCCGCGGAG